TAAAACTCTCACCTGGAGCAAATATAACACACATATTTCCTTTCTGCTCTTGACCTTTGCTTTTATTTTTTTTAAAAAAAAAAGTTTATAAATCAGAAAATCTTTTCCTATTTTCTCAGTTTCAGGGATTATTGGGTCAATTTGTCAAACAGTTGTCATATTATGATAGAACACGAGTAGGAACTGAAGAAAGCAAGGCGGTGGATGGTCAGGGAGGAGGAATCTCAGCGGGTTAGATTAATGTGGCATTTGAAATATTAACCTTGAGCTTGAGAAGCTAGCAGGCTAGTGAAGCTATAGCCAGGAGCAGCTGGCAGTGATTAGCTTCTGATTCACTTTAGCTACACATAGAGGCAGCTTGTAAAAATATGAACAGTATAACTGTTTCCTGAGTTTGTGCTGACAGCAGCTCCTGAGGGGAATGCTGCTCTCTGCAAGAACACATGGTTACATTCTGGGTCCATGCCAACACACGGATTAGCAAAGATTGCTAACAGCAATCTTTTCTGGGCTGGAGTAGCCGGAGGTGCCACACGAATGGCGTACTCTGTATTTATACAGCAGACGTAAAGCCATAAAGCAGTTTATTATTATTTGTGTCTTTTTTTTTGGTAATAGCATACCAATGATTTCACAATATAGAAAGCTGCACCAACAATTCTTCAAGCTAGTGAACAGTTTTATGTTGCAAATTTGAATGATTTGCCAAACCAGTTGGCACTACACWAATCCCCTTTTCTGGGTTCAATCAAATAGTTGAGGCAATTTCAAAAACAAGTAGGAAGGAATACAATTTTATGGGAAAACTGATATGTTACAACAGCAGTGAGGTTTTCTGTAATCTGCTAACACAAACTTTGACTAAGTTACGACTAAAACACATAAAAGTACATTTGAAAAAAATTCCTTAAAGGATGTCAAAATTAAGATCTTGCTTAATCACACTTTGTGTTAGGAATTATGTTTAGCTACTAGTTGGTTTTTTTTATTACAGTGGCAGCTATCATCAGGAATCATGTTGACTAAAAGTTAATCAGTTACTCAAATAATTCACTTGATTTCTAAAAGTTTTGTTAAAACCTGTTAGGTGGACAAACACACTGGTTACTGCATGGTTGCCTGCTTATTATGGCGGTGGGCGACAAAAACCAAGTGTGTGTGTGTGTGTGTGTATACTGTATGCATATATACTGTGTACATA